AGCTAGCCGCCAGGCAGCCAGCAGCCGCCAGGGCCCGGGGAGGGGCGGGCCGGCCACCGGCGGGGGAAGGGAGCCAGGGAGGGAGGGACAAAGGAGAGGAGGAGGGGAAGAGGAAGTGATGGAGGAGAGGCGAGGGGAGCGGGATGGAGAGGGCGGGGCGGGAGGATGCGGGCGGCCAGCCGACAGACCGGGGACTCCGAGTGCGGGGTGCAGGAGCAGAAGTGAGACGGGGAGGAAAGGTGCGGGGGGAGGTGACGGAAGGAAAGGTAAGAGGTAAGTAGAGGCCAGAGGGTGAAGCGTCGGGAGGCAGGAGTGAGAAGCAGGGTCTCACTGAGAGCCCTCTGTGGCTGGCCTCCCTCGAGGCCCGGGAAGGGACCAGCCTCGAACCCGGCTGGCTGGTCACCTTGGGCCAGTCACACTCCCTGGCCTCAGATCCCTTATCTACAGAATGAGGAGGCTGTCCTCATTGACAGCAAAGGTTGGGCTCTGACATTCCATGGCTCCCAGGGCTCCAGCTAGGTCACTAGGTCCAGCTCCGGCCCTCTCTGCGGGCACTGTGACAGGGTCAGTCCTGGGCTGGGAGTTCAGGCCTAGGCGGTGCTCTGTGCAATGTGAGCAGCACTGAGCCTGGCTCCCCTCTCCATCCTAAACACCACCCTGCTCCCCACACTCCCAGCAGCTCAGCTCAGCTCACCCCACCACCCAGGCTGGACCAAGGCACTGCCCCTTCCAGGCCAGCCCACCCGCCTGGGGCTCCAGAAGCCAACCCCACCTCCTCCCAACCACCACCACCAGTTGTGCTAGTCTTCCGAAGAGCTCTCGCACCCCAGTGAGGCACCCTCCCATCTGGAAAACACAGTGCCACCTGTCTCTGGAGCCCCCAGGGGCCGGCTGGGCTTCTGGGCCAGGCGAGTACCCACCCCCTAGCCCGGGCCCCAGACAGTTCCTCTTGTTCCAGAGACCCGCCCCCTGGACACCAGAACCTTAAGGGACACACTGTTTTCTCTCAGATGCACTCTATACGCTCAGAGCTCACATGCCTCACACACGTTCTCTGATACACACCAACACTTGCCCAGTCACACAGACACTGCCTTGGCTGTGCACAGCGAGTCATACAAACAGCCCAGCCGAACACACCCTGTCTCTTATACACGCTTATTCTCACCCACATAATACCCCTCTTAGTTACACACTCATTCAGGCACAGACATCCTTTCACTCAGTCCCTGGAGAGACTCTGAAATCAAAAGCCAACCTCCTTAGAGAAAGAAAGGATTTCTCCACCCTTGCTAAACACCTACCCACACTGCCATACTCCACACTCACACGCACACGTGTATCTCACTCCCCTTCTGAAGGAAAATGGAAGAACCATATAGGGTTAAATGCAAAATAGGGGAAGACTTTAAGAAAAAAATCTCCTCAGGAAGAATGATTCATCGGTCTGGAAACTGTGACAGCCAGCTGGACAGACCCAGACAGACACGGAGGATGCCCGCCAGTGAGAAATAGGGCAGGAGGCAGGCGCAAAGAAGGGAGCAGCTAGACGCTTTTGCTTTTTCTCTCCTTCTTTTGATCTTTATCTTATAGCAGAGGACAGTTGGAAGCTTCACTCCCATTTTACTGAAGGGATAACTGATAATTGGGTGGGAGAGGAAGAGGCTCAGTGTCCTGGATCCCAGAGGGAGATAGCTGGATTACCCAGGAAGCCCAGCTCCCCAGCCACATTCCAGGGAGCCCCCCTCTTCTGGCCTTCACACAAGCCCCTACCCACCAATGAGGGGCTTAGGGAGGGAAGGAGACATGGAGACTGGGCTGGCAGCGAATGCTGGGAGTGGATGGGGACCTACTGTCTAGACAGCCTGGGCCCTGAGCTGTGTGGCTTTCTGGGTCCTCCCCTGGTCTATCCCCTCCCAGAGCTTTCATGTGGTCTGGCGCTGTGGTCCCAGGGTGGGGCAGCCTGGCCGACTGAGATTCCTTCCTATTTCCTTGCTCACATTCCCAGCTCTACATCTTGCTCCGTAGAAAAGAGGACAGCGTGTGATGTGCCAGAACACCGGGGTATGGAGGTGGGATCGGGCTCGTCCTCGGCTCCCTCATGCCACGCTGCCCTGTCCGCAGCTTTAGCGAAAGCTAAAGGCTGGCGTCTGCTTTCTGCCTGCTCCCCCCACCGCACCCCGCCGGGCCCAGGCATGGTCCTGCTGGAAGAGCCTGTCACTGCCATCTCTACTCCTCATGACATGTGCCTCCCCAAGTTGCCTCTGGCTGGCACGGTGCCCAGAATGATGCATCTATGGACGGCCTAGCAGGGCCAGAACGGGCTCCTTGTTCTTTGTAGGGTAGCCCTCTGTTTTTCAAAGAGGAGCGTCCTCCTATAAGGCTGGGGCAGGGGAACAAGACAGGGAACACGATCCTCTTGTACATATGCCCACAGATAGGCACGGGGCCAGTGAGTTCTCAAATCCACCTGGGACTGCACACATGGACCCTTTGGTACCGTCAGTCCTGAGTTCACCCCTGTCCCCCACGTGAACACGCTGATCCATAAACACAAGGAAAGACACAAACAGTGATACACAAGCCCAGAGTCACAAACACATCCGGAGATCTATAAACACACTCCAGTTACACAGACACACAGAGATAGCACATGCACACACCCCCCCCTCCCCGAGCCACCCAGTTTCCAGGGAAACGCACTCCCAAGAATGTCCGGAGTGGGGCCCGGCAGGGCTGGGCTTGGTGCCTTGCTCCAGAGATGAGACAAGGAAAGCCTCAGCTCCCGGGAGCCCAGGGGAGGGGGAGTGCTAGGGAGAAGAACACCCGCTCCTTTGTGCCTCTGCATACCCCTCCCAGGGCTGCCAAGCTGCTGAGACAGGCAAGCCCAGACAAGGAGGCTATGGGAGTGGGAGGGAGCCAAAGAGAAGGGGGTTTAGGGTCAGAAGAGAGTGGGAGGGTACATACTTGGCAGGGTGGGCCCTTGGCTGGGGAAGAGTTAGGGGTCACCCGGGCCACAGGAAATGCCTAAGAATTCCATCTTGACCCAGGCCCTCCCTCTTCTCAGGGAGCTAAATGATGCTCTGGAAAGACTGCACACGAGGGCCCTACAGAGCATCCGTACCTCCACCCTGCTCACAACACACGTGTTCTTGCTCATGGATGCGAGGCATCTGGGGCTGGGGGAGTAAGGGCTGGGCTCTTTCTCTAGCCTTCTTTGAACTCTGCCCCTCCCTCTCCTTGCTGCTCTTCTAGCTCACTTCCACACACCCAAATCTTGGGGACGATGTTCTCTTGGAGGTTGAACAGGACTGTCAAGAACCAGATGGCATCACAGCCAAAGCCCCAATTTATGGGGGTTCTTCCTCTCATCTGGAGTCAGACAACTTGAAGCCCCAGAAGAGGCAAGGGCCTGCTTGCTGCGGCTCCCACTGGCGGACCTGCGTCCCTGAAGCCCCATGTCCCCCTCACGCTCCCAAGGGCAGGAAGAAAGGAGTAGGGCAAGGTTGGGTCTCCTGGGTCAGCTGTGAAAGGAGTAGCATCTAAAGAGAGCCTAAGGGATGTGAACAGAAGGACAGAGGGAAACAAAAGAATGAGTGGGATTTCCACTGCCAAGGAGCTTCCAGCCGGGAAGAGGAGAGAGTCCCCAGAAAACAGGGGCGGGACGTTAGTCCTCCCGCTCAGAGCCAGGCTTGGCCCACAGCTCCCAGCCTCGCATCAACCCCACCTCTACCCCCCACCCCAAGCCTGCTTTGCTCACTCCCCTAATGTGGCGATTCACTGTATAAATGGATGCCCAGGGCAGACACACCTGGTCTGTCAAAGTGCCACCTGGGCCGACCCCTAAACTGCCCGGTCACCATAGGAACTAGGGGCCCCAGTTTTCAGAGCCACCTGACACAACGGAATGGCCTGTGACTCTGGGGAACAGGGTGGTAACCATATTCATGACCCCAAAGCTACTGTCAATGGTGTTTTACCCTGAGTGAGCGTGTCCTCAGCTCTCACCTTTGCTCCATCCCCATCGGGGGGTACTGGCCTCCCTCTCCACCTCTGAGTCTTTTCAGACCCACTCCCTCTTGGCATCACGGAGCAACGCCAGGGTCGTCCTCACTGTTGCTCCAACTGCTCTCCCTTAACCATCACTAATGACCACTCTGCCGCTCCCCCCCCGCCGCCCTTTGAATGCGGTCATCAGAACCTCTCCCCCCACGTCCCCCCACCGAAGAGGTGAGCGGAGAAGAAAAGCAGGCTGAAGACAAATCTGGATGCTAGAGGAATTTGGGATGTTCTTGAGGCACGTCCAGAGGCACCTGAGCACCCCACTGGCTCTGGCCCGGCAGTTACCATGGCAACCTCCACAGCCGGCTTCCCCAGCCCCTGGCCCAGGCTCTTCTGTTAACAGAGACCGATGCCTCTGGCTGGGGGGGGCGGGGAGGGGGAGGTCGCAAGCCTTACCTTGAGTGAGCCGGGTGGGCTGCCGGGCAGGGAGCCCATCGATACTGCAGACGTTGCCACAAGGGTAGAGGGTGAGGGTGCCCCGCACGTTCTCGATGTAGCAGTGCTCTGGAGCCAGGCCCGGACCCTGCAGTGAGATGTCCCTGGCCGCGGAGCCAATCACTGTCTTCCCTGAAGCCGGAAGGCAAACTAAGTCAGAGGCTGGGCGGGGAGGGCAGCAAAGGAAATATAAGCCCACCTCCTCCTTGACGAAGGGTCGAGGCCTACTACCGGCCGCCCCTTTTGGACCCCTGAGCCTGGTGGGGACAGTCAGGGGTAGGAACTCTGGGAGAAAACTCTGGCTCACAGATGGGGCGACCCAGAGGGCACAGAGCATCCAGGCTCCATGGACAGAGAAGGGGAACTTCTTTTCTGCAGACCTTCCTTTAGTCCCTCCAACTCCTCGCCCCCAAGTCCTTTTCCTCCTTCATCCCGCTCCCCACTCTGTTCCTCCAAATCTGCCATCTCTCATTCCTCTCTCCCCCCACTTCTGCACCTGCAACCCTCGCCCTTCCTGGCTCCCCTCCCTGCTGCAGCTTGCACAGCTCCCCCTGGCAGAGCCCCCGGGACTGGTATTTGGAGAATGTGGGGAATGTAGAATCACCCAGGCAACAAGTGCAGCCCGGGGAGAAGCCAGGCAGGGCAGAAGCCACCAGGGAAGGGGGCCGGGCCAGGGCCTTATCTTGGGAGGTCTGCCCCTACTCCAGGCCCTCCGGCCCTCCGGCCCTCCGGCCCTCCAGGCTCCAGAGGTACCTGCTCCCACACCAGGCATCGCCCTGGAACGGGGCCCCTTTCTTCTTGGCCACACTGGTTGCTAAGAGCAATGGACTCTCCTGTTTCAGTGCTCTCCTCGTTTCTAAACTGATCTTTAATTGCAGTCCTGGAGCCAGATTATCTACCAAAGAGGGCCAGGCAGTCCAGGGGGGCCGGGACAAGGGGGGCAAGCTGGTGGAGTGGGGTGGCACAGCCTCGCATCTGGGAGAGGCGAACATAGCGGACAAAGGGCAGAAGGGCCCCAGGACATGCCTGGGATCAGGGGCAGAAATGTCTGGAAGGACAGAGGGGTGGCAGGGGGGCCGCCCCTCCAGACTTACCTTCCTCCAGAGGCAGAAGGGTGATAGCCGTGCTGAGCCGCCCACTGCCCAGGCTCACCAGATGTGGTTTGTCCGTTTGCACTTTCAGCCCTTTGCCTGTCTCGATCAGGTCCAAGGGCCCTTTCTGCAGGTAGTGGGGGTGAGGGATGAGCATCACGAGAGACTTCAGGCCAGACCCTGAGCACCCAGTCACACTGACCCTCTCTCCGGCACTTGCCCTCTCCAAAGGGCTCCAAAGGGCTCTGAGGGTGTCGGAAAGGCTCAGCACAAAATCTTGCACGGAGCATTATTACACTAAACTGTAATGAGATCTGAATCTAGGCCACTAACTCGTCCCACTGGATTTATCTCAAGTCTTGGCTTAACTGCCCCTTTTGTCTATTAAGACAGAAACAAGGAGAAAGTGAGGGGAGCAGGCAGGTGCTGGGGAGGAGAAGGGGTGCTGCAGAGGAGGGCCAATGCAGACTTGTCGCTGTAGACTTGTCCGTGGCCATCCCCTTGGCCATTGCTTGCCTCCGTGAAACTAAATCACAACGGAGGGCAGGGCCACGGATCGAGGAGAGGGACACAGGCCAGGGTCAATCTGTAAGCCACTTCCTGACTTCCAAAGGGTATATTCTGGGTGAACCAATTAACCTGATTCAGATAAAGACTTAGCTGTTAATAGGCTTGGGACCTGGGGAAGGGCTCTCATCCCTGGGCTGGGGCCACAGGTGGGGAGAGGAGCCAAACCCACCCTCTCCAACAGCCCTCTTGCCCCCTGGCCTTGACCCCACTCACCTTTACCATTGCTTGGGTCTTGCATCCAGGGCCTCCCTGGTTCCTGTTAAGAGCGTCCATGGTCCTGGGGCTCCAGAGCTCCTGGGGACACGGCAGAAGGCGGGTGTTGGTGGGGAGGCCAGGGGAGGAAAGGGAAAGGAGTAGGCTCTGCGGCCAGGTTCTCAGGGGCGGGGGGCAGTACCAGTCACCCTCATTCCCAGCAGGCTCATGCAGAAGAAAAAGTGCAGGTAGCTCAGGAACTTCGGGGCTGGTGGGGGGGGGGGCAGGGGGGAGGCAGTGCCTCATCTACGGCCCCACACAGACACCCAGCACACAGTCCTGGCCCTTGCCACCATAAGCCCAAAGACCCCTAGAGGCCCAGCCTCTATTCCTCTGCTTTCTTGCCTCTGACACCCAGGAGCCAGGCTTTGGCGGCAGCCTCAGACATCTGGAGCCAGAGGTAGGGTGGGAGAAATTACCTCAGTGAGGGAAGCCGGTCCAAGGAACTCCCCAGGGACACTGGTAGCCAGAGACCCCCCCCGCCAGGCTGGGCTGAGGAGGAGCTCCCTCTCTGTACCCTTCCCACTCTGCCTCTCCCTTTGTCTCTTTTCCCCCCCTGCAGGGGTCTCAACAGGGTGTCTGCTTAAAGGAGACACCACAGGAAAAACTCAACCATTCCTGCCTTCTGTATGTCTAACTCCTACACCTTCTCTTCCCCAGAAAGCAGTCTCACCCCCAGACAATCAGCAAAAAAAACCCTCAGTGGTGACTAATAGCAGGAATACAGTTTCCTAAGGTTCTTCATCTGATCTGGTGTTGTAGGAAGCTTGGGTCTTTAGAACCAAGAGTAAAGTAGATTCCAGAACCAGAACTTGAACTCTTCCCACCCATCCCTTTTTCCCTGGCTCACAGTTTCAGTGTCTGAGAAATGTGAGGGACCTTTGGGTACTCATGTGTGCCTGCATGCCCATGCCTTGATCATCTTGCTAAGGTTCAAAGGTTCCCATTTGTTGCTCAAGTGGGGCTGGGGACAGCCGAGAGAGCTTGGCTCAAGGTAGGAGGGAGACCCAGGAAGGCAGGGTTTCCCTCCACTTCTCTACTAGCCCTCGACCAGGGCGGGTGACTTGGAGAGGAAGTGGGGGCAGAAGCCAGCATTCCAAGGAGTGTCTGACCCTGGCAGTGGGGCCCAAGGGCCTCAGCCATAGAGAGTTACTAATTTTACCCTCCCAGCTTCCACCCTTCCGGACCTGGACGGCATCATGTCCGTCACTGTGTCCACCCAAGCTGGCGGAAGAGAAACCGGAATAGGGCCTGGGGCCCACCCCAACTCTGCCTGGGAAGAGGGAAGGCAAAGGCCGTTAACCTACACCAAGCTCCAAGCTGGCCTGGCACCTCCCCAGGAGATCTGGCCATGGGGAAGAATTTCCAGGGTCAGAGCCTGCTGTCCTGTTTCCTTCCACTCAGGGAAATCCCTCAGCATTCTCCGAGGGAAGAGAGGTGAGAGAGTGGGTTGGGAATGGGGAGTTTACCTAAAAGAGGGAGTAAGAAAATAAAACAATAAATAACGGTGAAGGAAAGGCATCACCGTTTAGTGGAAAGAAAGCTTCAGGCTGGGATGCAAGAGCCTTAAATTCTCACCCTGACTTTATTATTTATTAGCTGTGAGATCTTGGACAAGTTACTTAAATTCTCTGAGTGTCAAGTCATTCTCTATAAAAGTGGAATAATGACTTTTTCACAAAAGATTGTCTGGATTAGCGCTTGCCTGTGGCTAAGGGTAGGATGGAGAGTGACTATAAATGGGCACAAGATTTCTTTTTGGGGTGATTGAATTGTTCTAAGATGAAACTTACAGGCACAGCTCTGTAAATATACTCTAAAAGTTATTGAACACGCGTTTCAATTAAGTGAATTTTATGGTATATACGTTATACCTCAATAAAACTATTTTTATTTTTATTTATTTACTTGAGAGAGCAAGCAACAGAGAGCACGAGTGGGGGGGGGCGGGCAGAGGGAGAGGGAGAAGCAGACTCCGTGCCAAGCAAGGAGCCCAACTCAGGGCTCCATCCCAGAACCCCAGGATCACAACCCCAGCGGAAGGCAGACACCTAACCCACTAAGCCACCCAGGTGCCCCAATAAAACTGTCGTGTTTTTTTTTTAAAGATTGGAGATTCAGCTATTATATTAAATGACCCTCTGTGAAGCGCAAAGCACCGTAAACATGCCAGTCATTAGTACGGGTTTCAAGATCTAGAACACGTCACTTCGCCTTTATCTGTCAAATTCGTCACTGTCACCCTGTTAGGCAGCTTTGGGCGTGTTCATTTATTTACACCAAAGAATTTCAAGTGGAGATGAAGACTGTAAAGGAATAAGGTTGATGGGGAACAGGAGTGATGAGAGGAGAGAAGAGAAGGAAATAATCATGTGAAAGGAGGGGGGAGATAAGGAGGGAGGTGTGGGGAGAGACCAAGAAGATAAGAAAAGGTGGAGAAACAGCAGGGTCGAGGCTGTGGGCCCAGCTCAGAAACCTAACCCAGGTGGAGTGGAAAGCTACACCCGACCGGCGCGTCCCAGCCGCGCTCGGACAAAGGGGCTGCCCCGCCGCCACCTGGGGGCGCGCTCTCCTCGGACCCCACCCCGGGCTCGGGGCGCCCTCACCCGCCAACTCGCTTCCGCGGACAGGGCTACCCACTACCCAGGCAGTAATTACCCTCTCCCAGCGCCCCGCCCGGTCCCGCTGCCAAAAAAAGGCCCGTGCGGCGCGAGGCCGGCTCCCGGGAAGGAGGGAGGCGAGGGAGGCGCCGCGGTCAGCCCCGGCTCTCCGTGGCCCTCTCGCACCTCCTGGGGCGCAGCGCCGCAGAGGCCTGGGAGCCGGGAGCCGCCGTGCAACAGGGAGGGACCCCGCGGCGGGCGAGGCCGGGGCTCCCGCGGCTGACCCCGCTCAGGCCCGGCCCCTCCGGCCTCCTCGCCCAGCGGGGACGCGCGCGCACCCAGGCCACGCGGGATCTGCCCGCCCGCAGCCCTCTCCGCCGAGTGGGTGTCCGGAGTCACCGCTCCGGGGTCTCGGCGCCCAAACTAGGGTGAAGGGAGGCCCGAGGAAGGGCCGAAAAGGTCTGCAACCAACAGGCACTGGAGGAAGTCCAGGCTCCAAATCGGGCCCCCGGCCAAAGGTCCCAGGCGAGTCCCCGAGCGCTAGCCCGGCGCTCCCCGGGGTCCCGCGGGGCCGCTCCAGCCCTCACCTGTGGCCGGGGGGACCAGCCGAGGCCTCGCCCCGGGCGTCGCATGGCCGCGGCCCGAGGCCTGCGGGGCCGAGTTGGGACCCTCTCCGCCCGCCGCCGCCGTCGCTTTCCCGACACGCATCCGCCCTCGAGGAAGGGCAGGAAGGGCCGCCGGCAGGGGAAGGAGTCGGGACGGGAAGGAAACTGAGGCTGGGATCCCGGAGGGCGGGGGCTGGGGAGGGGTGTGGAAAGGCCGGGGCGGAGAGAACTTGAGAAGCGGAGGCGGGGGATGGGGAGGAATGAGGGGTCAGCGACAGGATCGGGAGGAGAAGGGGAGACGCAGGGATGGGGGGCGGGATGAAGGACGGAGACTGAGGGATGAGGAGAAATGAGAGCTGGGGAGATGGACAGGAGGGGGAAGAAGATGGGGAAACAGGCCGGGGGACGCAGAGCTGGGTGGAGACGGAGAGACAGCGAGGCGGAGGACTTGGGGGACAAAGAAGGAGATGGGGAGACTCCGGACAGAGAGGTCGTCGAGTAAAGGGGACGACGGCCAGGGGCTGCCCTAGAAGGTACAGAGGGCCGTGGAGGGGGAAACCGAGGGGCGGGGAGCCAGGGGAAGGGAAGAAAAGGGGAGACTGAGGGCAGGCCGGGGCCGCTAGCGATCAAAGACGAGAGGCGGGCGGCGGAGGCTCGAGGGGGCAGAGCCGGGGAGAGGCGGGAGTGTAGAGTGGGGCTCTGGTTCTCCTGGGGGAGCGGTGGGGGTGCTGGAAAGCGCCCCTCTCCGAGGTCGCGGGCGGGCTGGGACTGCCGCCTGGGCGCGGCTCCTCGCTGGCCCTGGGCCTGTGCTGCCCAGGGCCGCCAGGTGGGACAAGGCCGCAGTGTTGGGCCGCCCCGCCCGCCGCGGACGCCGGACAAGCGGCCTTTCTTTGGCGGGGCCGGGAGAAAGAGCCGCTTGTTTGCGCGGCCGGGGAAAGGGGCGGCCGCTCCGACACCGCCCGCTCCCCGCAGGGCCGCTGCGGGAAGGGGGGCTGAGGGTGCACGGGAGGTGCGAGTGTGAGCGCAGGGCTGCGGGTGTGAGCGGCGGGGTGTGCGGGCGGGAACTGCGTGAGCGCAGCGCGCGCGGACTGCGGGCGGAGGTCCAGGCGTGCGGAAGACTGCCCCGCGTGCGACGGCGGCCGAGCCCCGGGCCGCGCGCGCGGCGGGCGGGCACGTGGGTGACACGGGGTGGGGCGCGGTGCGTGTCCGCTGCGTGGGATGCCTGACGTGGTGGGGAGCTGGTGTTTGTGTGCGAGCGGCCCGATGAGTCAGCCCGGGAGCCTCCGGGACCGCTGAGCTAACGGGCCCAGAATGCAGCCCCGCCCCGGCTCCCTGGGTCCCCCGCCGGGCCTCGCGGCCACCCGGCCAGGTCCCCCGCTCGCCCCAGCCCCGGCGGAAGCGTCCGCGGGCGCCTCGGCAACCCCGCGCCCGGCGGCCCCTCCCAGGCCCCGCCGCCCCCGGCCGCCCGCCCGCACTTCCCCATCCCGGAGGAACCCGGATGGCTGGCTCAGCCCCCCGCCTCGGGGAACTCCGTTAGGGATACGAATCCGGACCCGGCGGGCGTGGCAAGAACCTGGGACTCACCCCCCTAAGGGTGCCCCATCCGGCCTCCCGGACCCCTAAAGATGCGGGGCCTCGGAGGAGGGCTCGGAAGGCCCCAGACGCGCCTCCCATCTCCTGAACACACCAAGAGTCCCTCGCGGATTCCCACTGTCTCGGGGCTGGACTGCGCACACATTCCTCGTCCGTCTAGGCAGCCTGACCGGGGACAGGAGCCGAGATGGCCCAGGGGAGCCCCCTCACCCGGGGCAGGGCTCTCAGTCCTGCCGTCGGCCGCAGAGTGGGAGGAGCGCGGCGCGGGCGGACGAGCCCCCGCGAGTGTCAGCCCGGCCGGCCGTCTGGGTGCCCGCGGGAGAGTCTGGACGGGGCAAGGACCAGCGTCCCTCCCGGAGAGGAGCGCGAGGGCCCCCTCTGGCGGCTGCGCGGACAGAGGCTCGGGAGGGCAAAAGCAAGCAGCCTGCGGAAAAGCAGCGGAGCCCGTCCCCACAAAGCCCCTTTCGGCCGTCCCCCCACCCCACTGCACTCACCTGGAGCGCCCCCTCCTCCCCCACGGTTTCTTCTGGGCCCACCCCAGCCCAGAGTTGATCTCAGGGCTCCCGCCAGGCCCTGGGACTTCCCCTTATCCAGTCCCAGCAGCGCAGCCAGCGAGACCCACGGGCCTAGTGGGAGAGAGCGTCCTTACCTCGCGCGGGGAGAGGGGGACACCGGTTCCTTCCCCTGGCTCGGCCGCCGAGGCCTCGGGCTCTGGAGGACACTGTTGCTTTTCCCTGGGAGCCCGCTGAGTGGGAGGAGAGCGAGAAGTCCCGCCCCCCAGTCCCGCCCCCGTCCCCCGTCCCGTCCTGCCAGGCCAGCAGGAGAAGACGCCCTTGTGGAGCTGGAGCCCAAGGTCCCCCCCGCCGACCCTTTCCCATAGCAGCACCTACCCCCCCAGGCCCCCCCCCCCCCGCCTGCACAGCGCCCGCTTTGTTCCTCTCTGCAGCTGGGCTCTCCACTACCATCAACACACACACCCCTCCCTCCCCCTCCTCCCCTCCCCTTCGGACTCCCCTAGACCACCCTCCACCCCTAGGCCTTAAGGCTCTTCTGAAAGGGTGTTTTTGACAATTTCTCACTCTCTCCCCGCGCCCGCCCGCTTTTTTAAAACCTTAGGTGCCTGAGTCCTCCGTGGCTCCCAGTGAACCTCTTGGTCGCAGAGCCCTCCAGCATAGTCTCAGTATCTCCAGAAAATATCCGCTGAGGGGACCCAGGCTTACCCCATCACCCCTCCTCCTCACCCTATTCCAAGCCCTACCATGAAGAGCTGTAAATGGGGTTGTTGACCCTGCACATCAGGCTTCGCAGACTTTTCTAAGGAGAGGTAGAAGACATGTTAAAGTGCCATGGGAAGTGTAAAGCACAGAAACCTGCATTGAATCATCATCTTGCCCCCATCCATGTAGCTCCGCCCTACCACCACCCGCTGACTTAGAACTGGGGGGCGCAAGCTATAGACAGACTATTGAGCACACCATCCTATAGCAGTTTGGGTCTCTGGAGGAGTAGGGGGCTAATAAGGAAGAAAAGGAGGGACTAAAAACCCAAGAGGAGTCTAGAAACTGAGCCTAGTTGAAGTCGTTCATCTCAACCCCCACCCCGAAATCCAACACAGCGGACAGTGGATCCTTACCTTGCAAAGCCAGCTCTTGCCCCAGGAGACTGACTGGGGAGGCCCTAGGGAGCTGACCTCAGCTAGGCTGGACCTCTTTAACCTGCCCTAGAGGGATCCCCGAGACTCCTCCTCCTCGCTGAATGAGGGAGCAGAAAGCCCCCAAGGCTTCCAGCTGGGGCACATAGCAGAAAATAATTTGCCCTCCTTGGGATGGACATACCTTGTTCTGATTCGGTGGCTTTAGTTTGTGCCCTCTTTCCCTAACCCTGGAACAGCAGGAGGCTGAACTGCGGCAATCTTTGGTCACTCATTGACAGGGCCAGCATTAGCAGGGGGGCCCCTGACGGCTGGAGGCTGGGGCTGACTGGAGCCAGGCAGTGGACGGGAAGGGGGAGGGGAAAGACACTTCGCAGTTACCAGCTGTGGCTAACAGAGGTCAAACAAGCAAGGCTTCAGCAGGCATCGTGGGTACCAGGAAGCCCCAGGATTTGGGGGATGGGAGGAAGCCTCTTACTCTTCCTCTCTTCACACTGTTTGAGGCTCCTGAAGGTATTTTGACTCTGGCCACCTTTCATGAGGCAGATCACAACAGTAATTTCCAGACTATTCTGGTAAAAGAAAAAGAAACAAAATCCCAACTATTGCATCCTACGTGCCAAGACCCAGCATTCGAGGGAAGGGGCTCTGATTGGGGTACCTCAGAGTTTTTTCACATAACTGTTTCACAACTCCCAGAGCTTCTTCACCATCTCGGTCAGGAGGAATTTCAGGGAATGATCCAGCCCGCCACAGGGCAGCTGATGCAGAGGCAGGGGGCCGAAACAGCACCCATCTTCTCTCTGTCCTCCCACCCAAGGACCAGCTGACCCCATGATAAGGGCTCTGTGCAATGTGTCCTCACTCCTGCTGGGTTGAGGCCCTATGTTCCCACAGTTAGAGCACTCTGGGGACTACAGACCTACCGCCCCCACCCTCCACCCCCACCCGCTGCACATCTGGAGCCCATCAAAAAACTCAGTGCTCTCTCACAATTACGCAAGAGGTCGAGCAGCTGGGAGCTCAGGAAAGGGGGAGGAAGAGAGAAGAAAGCAGAAAACAGCTTTCCAAGCACGCTTCAGACTTTCCGAACTGGAAGCAGGGGGGAGAGGGCAAAGGCTGGGTGTGGAAGGAAGAGTGGATTTTTGAAGGCCCTCTGCACTTGGCTATGAATGTCAGGAGTCTATTTCCACATCCCTCCTGCCTTTGCCTAGGCACTCTTCCCACCTCTGTGCTCCCTCCAGCCCCAGAAGGAGGCGATTATTGCTCACTACAGCAAGCGAACCCTGTTCAGTCACATCTTCTAAAGCTCTCCTTTCTGGCCTCTGCGGATCCTGAACTCAGGCATCATTAGTGTGGGTGTGGTGACAGCAATGATGCCAAGTAACTCCTCCCTGCATCCAACTTGGGGAAAAGTTCAAACCTTTCTTCAGCAGGAGGTCTCTCCTCAGCTTGTCCTAGAAATTGCACAGTCCATGCTCAGACCCAAAGCTAAGAGACACCAAAGCTGAGTGGTCTCATCTACATCCCTGTAGGCTCAGGACCTTCCTATGAGCTGAAAAGAACCACCACTGATTTGGGCAAGAGAATGGGAAACAAAACCTATCTCCACTTCCCTCATTGCCTTGAAATTGTAATGCCTCTTTTTCAACCAGCCCGTTTGGTTATCAACCTGATCACAGAGAGTACGCTTATGGGAGCTTTCGAGAAATGGGCTAAGCCCTAAGTATCAATTTAGCCCCTGCCCTATGAACAGCAAGGCAAAAAACCTTTCTGTCTGTGCGGGGTAGAGGAGTGGGAAGTGACCCAAGCTTCTGAAAACTGCTTTGTTGCTTGACCACTTGTGTTTGAGAGTGGGCAACAGCTTAGTTTGGAAAGGTATAGTCTTCCTAAAGGTCTGGCTCCACGTAAACCTCTAACCCCCGAGGGTAAGTTGGGAGACTGATGCTTGTGGAGAGGCTTTCTAACCTTGGGTAAGAGCAACGTACAGCACCCGGTTCCTTGTGGAGCCTCCAGCAGTTTCAAAGCTCTGTAGCTGCAGATAGATTTACCAGAGGGGGCAAGAAGAGGAGATGGAGGCAGAGAATGGTTGCAATGAGATGTGCGTAGTAACGGGGAGTTAATTCGGAGTTTTTGCTTTCCTTTGAGAGATTGCTCTGAAGCCTATGAGACAGACCCCTACCTATTCCTCACCCTCACTGAGACTCGCACTAGCACCAGCCGCAGTTAACACTTGTCTACCTGAGGAGAAAAGGCTTTATAAGTAGGTAGCCGTTGCTTCTAGTTAGACTTTCATCTTCTTGAGGATGGCGGCTTTTTCTATTTTTCTATCTTCCTCCAATGAGCCCGACCAGATGTGAACTTTTTTAAAAAAGCTACTCTGTATCAAGCCTGGAAATCTCTCAGACGCTACTCAGTGAGAACAACTTCACATTAATCGGAAGGCAAAGCTTCTGGAGTGAGAGATGCATGGGCTGATAGATCCGGGGGGTCTGAAACTACTGTGAGTAGATGAATTACAGATCTTTTTTGGAAAGGAATTCCTGACCACGAGGTGTGTTCCCTACCTCCTCTGTGTGGAATTAATTAATTCAAAGCAGGAACCACAAACCTCCTACATTAACCAGAATGCTCAGTCAGATCAAATTATCTTGTTCGGCTCCCTCACAAGAGGCCAACAAAAGGCCCACTTGGTGCGGTGGAGGGACCAGCGCCAGCCAGGGGCGTGGCACGGCTCCGGCGCGCTCCCCCGGGTTAGGGTTACGGTCTCAGAGCCACGCCACGCTTCAGCAACAGACCAGAGACTTCGTATTTCTCTTAAGGAAGAAAAAAATTCAAACTCTTGGCTTTCACCCTGAAGATAAAAAACTTTATCATTCCCAGACACTCGTTATTCATTACAGAGAGTAATTTGTCTTCCAAAGAATTTGTTGACAGTCAACAGTTTTTTAAGTTACATAAAAAGAAAGTAAGGATGAAGACTTTCCTGAGGGAATTATCCAAACTCCCCAAGCATCCATCCATCCCTCACCCCAGGATCACTTACTTCTTACCACTGCTGCTCTAATGGAGAAGAGAATGCTCTGAGACATCACCAATCATTGTTATTCTTTACAGATAAAGCCTCATGGTTCTGACTCTACAACTGCCCCTGACAAAAAATTAAGACCAAAAGTCTGTAAGTAGCATCAAATTAAAAAACCCCACAGACTGGAGTACATGTGTACGTATACATATGTGTGCGCTCAGATGGAGAATACCCACGGAGGCACGATCCCTGTAATGTGGAGGAAGGCAATGAATACTCTCGGATAGAGATTCTTTGCTCTTAAAAAAAACATATCATTAATTTTTAAACTTAGATCCCGTTACATCATCTCAAATCAGCAAGGAGACACCAAAGTATGAGAGAGCCAAGAGTCTAATAAACATTCATTTTATAATACTCTTTATTTGATTAAAGAATTTTCCTTCTTTGTGTACACTGGAATGTTATATTCCCTATGTATCTTACAGGGTTACAAAATGTCGCTCATTTTAAATATTACCCCAAAAGTAATTTCAGAAAAAAAAAAAAGGTTGTGAAACTAAACAACTTTAAAAAAATCGTATGGACAAGCAACTTTCAAACAAAACTGGATTAATAAGATTTCTTGCCTACTTAACTACATGACAGATTTCTTGTCCCAGTCCCCTTCCTCAAAAAAACCTCATGTGGAAACCAAGCCAGAGATAAGGATTCTTCCCTGATGCAGTTAAGGGAAAGGGAAAGGCCAGAAATTTCTTTGGCAAACAATTCCATCCACGGCCATCTGTGTGTGACTGCTTTGCTTCGAGGACAGTACACTCTTTGCAGGGGAGGCCTGATGTCGTCCCAAGTGGGAGTGGTCCTCTCCAGCCCAGCTGGAAGTGCAGCAGGTCACCTTGTCATCTGCCTCTCTGCCCCACCTGGGGCTGTGGCCTAGCAGCAGCCCCAGCAACCCTACCAAGTGCAATACTGAGTTAGAAAGCCAACGCTGGGCTGGCTGATGTAGCCTTCTCCATTGCACAAGTAAATGGCTGAGAGGGGGCATGAGGACTCAACAAGAAGGGCTGAAGGGATGAAAAGGAAGGACTTCGGAGACAGGAAAGACAGGAAAGGACTGAGAACACAGAGAAGAGCCAGGAAGGAGGAGGTGGTGAATTCAAGGACACGTGAGTGGGCTTTTATGTTTTAGCTGAAGTACCCAAAGTGTAGAGAACCAGAAGCTTGGGTAGCACCAGCAGCAGACAGGATTACCTGTGGATGTGAAAGCCCTCGCTGCACATAACCATTCGCCTCTCAGGCATCTTGCAAATGGGGGCTGTGCCATCAGAAAGCTGCTTCTCAGTGGTCTTTACTACTGGCACAAGAGGGATTCACAGTACTGTTCTAAACTGGAGGAACACAACTGAAGGAAAACAACGTGCAAGGGAATGGAGGAACAAGTGGACATAGGAAAAAGACAAAGTACATCCTTATCTGTTAACTTCTAGACCTCATACCCCTTAAGCAGTTCACCTGTATAGTCCAAAGATCGAGGTTGGATTAGATCAACCAGTTCCCAGGAGTGCCCCTACATATGGATGATCCCAGTGCTTGACTGAAGGTATATAGAGAGAAAACTGAAGGTAAAGGAAGGGAGTATGAAAGATTAAAATTTGCAAAGAAAACTTTTTAAAAATGAAGTATGAAATGTAACCGTATTTAGGGATTAAAACAAAGGAGCAACAATGAGGCAAAGGCAGAGAAGCTGTTTAACTGGGGAGCATTCTCTGGAGAACGTGCTTTCCTGTGCTGGCCAGTAAAATCTGCCAAAGAAATCAGCAGCCTTTCCCTTTATGTTTGTGTCTTTCTTTGCCAAAGAATGTCTCTGTGACACTTGAACACTGAGGGTGAGTTGAGGGTCCTTGCGCGCAGAGAATCGTGCATTGTACCAGAAAAAAAGGGTCTCCAGTGGCTTGTGGATTTGGAAAAAACTCTTCAGCCACTGTTGGCTTCTTCTTTATTAATTTGAAATATTTCCTTTCCGGTTCCCTCTTCTTGGTACTACAGGATTTCATACTTATCCACCAGGAAAGTGGTCTCTGTGGAAAACCTTACAGGGCTGTTTCCATCTACCTGGGTCACTTTGGTAACCTAGGGAAACAAACAAAGAGTGAGGTAAAGCAGGAGGAGAGCGAGTCTCCAAGGTGCTGGCTAAATTCTCAGGACAGAACAGATCAAACTCCCTTAAAGCAGTATTAAAAATAACTCAAAAACACTAAAAAAGTTCAATTCACAATTGTGCCTTACAGCATCACTCTTCTCCACCAACATGATTAACTTGCTTTCTAGACAGAAAAGACAACTGTTGGCATGAGACGTACAGTGGTATCAAGTAAAAGATCTAGAATGAGTGGCCACTACCCAGGTCTGCCCCATAAAACCTATGAAGTTCACATTTTATCAGGCTGATCAATTAATATTTTGACCCAAAATGCAATATTCTGACTCTTCAACTTAATTTGCCTGATTTGCTCTCCAAGTCTCACTAAGCTGCTCTATCACACTTATTTTCTAGATATGGCTGGGTCCTTCTTTGAGATCTTGTTTTTTCTTTTTAATTATAAATGTCTAGTTTAATGAACTACCTGCAACATTAATGTCTATAATGGCATTCACACAATGCTTGAACCACTGATTGTATTTTCTAATGAGGTTTTCAGAGAGTCCTCCTACTCTTCGAATTGTCCCAAACAGGAAAATGTACCCACTACTATCCCATGTCTTGGTTTCAAGCCATATTGGGAGTACACTCCCAATATTGATGGGCTTATGCCAATAACTGAGAGTGGAGAGAGAAGTGCTTTTGGAATTATCCAACAGAGGAAGGAAAACTGTAACCTCCCAAGCACTTATAGGAGAGACAGAGACCATGTGGGAAGATAAGACAGTGCCACAAAAACAAGCAAATCAACAAGTCCGAGGGGAAAATTCATAACAGAAATTGGGTCCTTGTAATGCAACTTCAAAAACAAGACGAACAATGAGTTAAAAATAATGATCTAAAGAAACAGTTCACAAATACTCATTACTTTGCTTATCTAAAGGACCAGGTCTGCAAAAGAATTGGCTCATGATTATCTGTATTAATGAAGGGAAGCTGTAACGTAAATAATCCAAATATTGTGGGGTTTTAAAAAAGATTTTATTTATTTATTTATTTGAGAGAGGGAGAGAGAGCAAGAGCGAGCGTGAGCGCACATGAGTGGGGGGAAGAGCAGAGCAAAAGGGATAAGCAGACTTTGTGCTGATCATGGAGCTTGATTCGGGGCTCAATCTCAGGGTCCTGGGATCAAGGCACACAACAGGCTCCCTGCTCAGTAGGGAGTCTGCTTCTCCCTCTCTCTCTCTGCCCCTCACCCCCACTCATGTTCTTTCTCTCCCTCTCTCAAATAAATAATCTTTAAAATACAAAAATAAATAAAAATAAAAACAAAACTTTCTTTCCGTTCTTGGTTCAAACCAAGTGACATATAAAAGGCATTACAAAACAAAACACAAACAAAAACTTAAAAATTTCAAAAATTAAAAAATAAAAGGCATTATAAAACCATAGGTTGGCTGTTTTGGTAAATGGCTTTTTTTTTTTTTTTTTT